CGGGGCGGTGGCCTTCATCTGCCCGATCGCGTGGTCGGTGGAACCCTGGACGAGGATCGTGCAGCTGTGCGGGTTCTTGACGCCCTCGATGAAGGTGTACTTGTCGTCCTGCTGGGGTGCACGGGGGGGAGTGGGGAGAGAATGGGAGTGGGGGGCTGGGAGGGCACTGAAGTACTCTTGTGGCCATCGCGGCAGGAAAGGTTCGAGGCGTCAGTTCGTACTGCCTCTCTCAAGCCCCTCTTGGGGCCCTCCTGGGTAGTCTTAGGGGCCCTCTTGGGCCTTCTTGGACCCTCTCGGGCCGTCTTGAGGCCCTGTTGGGCCTTCTTGGGACTCTCTTGGGCCTTCTTGGAAGGGGAGGGGGTGGTGTACGGCGCGGAGGGGATGGAGGAGGGAGTGGCGAGAGGGGAGGGGCGTGGGGAGGCAGGGGCGGGAGCGAAGGGGTGGAGTGGGGGAGAATGCCAGCGGAGAGGAAGCAGGGGAGAGCCGGGCGTGCCATCCAGGTCGCCCCACGTCGACCGTTGCGCTGCGGGAGCTGCGATCATAGTCGCAACCTCGCACCGCCCCCCATGGAGAAGGACACCTCTCCAACCAGGAAAGCGACGCGCGAGACGCGGCTATCGTCGCGCCCCAGCGGGTGCCCCAGGCGAGTCCCCCACGTGGCCCGACCACGCAGTTCAAGCAGCGAGAGTGGCACTTTCCAAAGACTGCTCCTCCTCCTCCTCCTCCTCCTCCTCCTCCTCCTCCTCCTCCTCCTCCTCCTCCAACTCCTCCTCCTCCTCCTCCTCCTCCTCCTCCTCCTCCTCCTCCTCCCTCCTCTCCTCCTCTCCTCCTTCCTCCTCCTCAAACTCCTCCAACTCCTCCAATTCCTCCAACTCCTCCAACTCCTCCCAACTCCTCCAACTCCTCCTCCTCCAACCCTCCAACCCCTCCAACCCCTCCAACTCCTCCAACTCCTCCAACTCCTCCAACTCCTCCAACTCCTCCAACTCCTCCAACTCCTCCTCCTCCTCCTCCTCCTCCTCCTCCTCCTCCTCCTCCTCCTCCTCCGCCTCCTCCGCCTCCTCCTCCTCTCCTCCTCCTCCTCATCCTCCCTCCTCTTCCTCCTCCTGCTCCTCCTCCTCCTCCTGCTCCTCCTCCTCCTCCGGCAGCACACGCGCATGTAGCGAGAGAGCTGTGGCTCTGAATCCCTTCCCACGGACGGTGGCATCAGCGCAGAGAGGTGAAGTCCTCCAGCGTCTGCTCGTAGACGAGGTCCGCGAATCCTCGGCCGATTCGACGGGGAGAGACCGCACGTTTCACCAGACGCTTCAGCAACAGTCCAGCACGGTCTACGGCAGGGATCGGAGGCTGCAACGCACTGGCTTTGCAACGATGAAGACAATAGGGACGCTCACACTTGTGTTTCGTGATGAGCGGTTCCCTACTCCAAACAGACCGAGAACACGACTGGCAAACCGACAGAAACGAAAAAAGGGAGTTCTTGACGAAGCACCGGCCACACCTTGACTCGCAGCCTCGCTCTGCGATGGTTCTGGATGGGGTAAGAAGAGAGATAATAGAGAAGGAGTGTGTGTGTGTGTGGATGATGAGGTTCAAGAATGAAGGGCGAGGAAGCGGAGAGCCACGGAGACATTGAGAGAAGGGATGCACAGAGGCGGCGAGCCACAGAAGCAGGGAGGCAGGGAGAACACACAAGGAGAAGCCGACAAACGGAGCGACAGGTAGACTGCTTTCCTCTGCTCCTCCCTGTGCAACCCGTCCCCCTGCCCTCCCTCGGGCGTCGGGGGGCGGTCCCAGGTCGCTCTCCTCCAGGTCGTCGACTGAGTTGACGGCCACGCCGCCTGTAGCCCAGGGAGGAGGAGAGAAGGGTGAGGAGGAGGAGGAGGAGGAGGAGGAGGAGGAGGAGGAGTAGGAGAGGAAAGAGGAGGAGGAGGATACAAGCAGAATCGGGTGCGGGAGAGAGCGAGTTGACAAGCTAGGTACGCTCGTGTCATATCTGCCATCCTACCCCTCTGCGCTGACTTTGTGAGTTTTCAAACACAAGTCCCCCAGAGACGTCCACAGAGCCCCCAGAACCATCCAAGAAGGCCCCCGTAACCATTGGACCATCGCAGCCAGGCCTACTCTGGGTCCACAACTCCTCTTGAGGCCAGCTCCCCGAAACGGTTGCAATGCTGGGCGGGAACGGTGGCGGAACTTGCCACGATCGGCTGGCCACAAAACATCGCATCGATCACGCGACAGACTCGACATGGCTCCCTGCAAGGATCGGAAGGGGGGGCCTGCCCTCGCCCTCCTCAACGCCTGGCGGGCCGCGCCCGCTCACGGCGACAGATCCCTGAAGGCGGCCGTGACGCGTGAGCCGGAGAGGCGTACTTTAGTGATTGGCCGGAAAGGACTCGTAGCCAAAAAGTCTCCGCCAGGCTCTGCCGGAGGACTTGCTCGCCTTCTGGGCCGTAGTTCTCCGCCAAACCCTGGCGGAGAATCTCGCTGTCTTCTGGGGGGGGAAGTCGCCGCCAGACCCTGGGCCACGGGTTGACAGGGACGACGCACCAATCCCTGAGGAGCCTCGCTAACCAGATGCGAGCTGCCGGGGCCAGCGCCAAAAGCGCAAGCAATGGTGCGACTGACGCCAGTGCTGACGTTCTGTGCTCTGGGCCCATGCTGTTGTGGGCACCGCTCGTATCCGACGACGCTGCCCGCGATGCGGACTTGCGCGCGCAATACTTTTGAGCCCGTCGAGGGCCTCAGACGATCGACTGAAAGGAATGAAAGCCACCTCTCATCATCGTGCCTTGTTTAGCTTCTCTACTCGAACCGTCGAGTATAGAAGCTAAACAAGGCACGATGCTCAGCATTGCAGGTGTTGCTATGGGCTTCGACCATAGCACTTCCTGCTCAAGCCAATTCGTCGAGGAACGGATGAGGACAAAAGAAAGCTGGGCCCCTCTCCTAGCGGGCCACATACGAACCCTACCCCTACCCCGACGATTTCTGAGGGGGGGGGTGGGGTAGGGTTCGCATGTGGCCCCCGACCTCCCCCCTCCTGCCCCTGGAAGTTCTGTGCCGCCATCCCTCTGCTCTGCGTCATCCCTTCCCGTTGCGCCAAGCTGTTCTGTATCCGCGGACGCGTGCCACGGCCAACCCCATCGTGAGATGCTCAATCGGAGGAAAAGGGGAGCCGCGTACATAGGAGAAAGAGGAGGAGGTGGCGGGTGAGCAGGAGGATGAGCAGGAGGACAAGGAGGAGGATGAGGAGGAGGACGAGGGCGAACAGCAGCAGCAGCCAGAACTGGAGGCGAGTGAAGGGGGAGGAACAGGAGGACCAGGGAAAGGTTGAGTGGAACTCGGAGTTGAGAAGAGAGAAGGAGAGGTAGAAAGAGAGAGAGAGAGCGAACGAGAAAATGAGAGACCGATAGAAAAAATGACGAGGCGGAAAATGCAGAGACAAAGAAACAGAGAGAGAACGAGAGAGAGAGAGAGAGACAACGAGAGACAGAAGAAGAACCGGAGAGAGTGAGCACATGCGAGCGATGGTAGTGGTGATGGTAACGGTAACGAGGTTGGTACGGTGGGATGCTGAAGTGGCGGATGAGATGCTGATGATGATGATGATGATGATGATGATGATGATGATGATGATGATGATGATGATGATGATGATGATAACAGTGATGATGATGATGATGACGATAAATACGATGGATATGCTTATTGTGATGCTGCTGATGCTGATGCTGATGCTGTTGATGATGATGATGATGATGATGATGATGATGATGATGATGATGATGATGATGATGATGATGACGCGAATGATAATGATAATGCTGGTGATGATGATGATGATGATGGTAATGGTGATGAGGATGATGACGGTGATTATGATGCTGATGATGATGATGATGGTGATGGTGATGATGCTGATGATGACGATGATGATGATAGAGATGAGGATGGTGATGATAGTGACGATGGTGGTGATGGTGATGATGCTGATGATGGTAATGATGACGATGGTGATGGTAGTGGCGGTGATGGTGATGGTGATGGTGATGAGGATGATGATGGTGATTATGATGCTGATGGTGATGGTGATGCTGATGATGATGACGATGGTGATGGTGATGGTGATGGTGGTGGCAATGGTGACGGTGATGGTGATGGTGATAGTGGTGGTGATGGTGGTGGTGATGGTGATGATGATGATGACGATGGTGATGATGATGATGATGACGGTGATGGTGATGATGATGGTGATGGTGGTGATGACGATGGCGACCACGACGACGACGACGAGGACGGCGGCGGCGGCGACCACGACGAAACCGCCGTCGACGACGACGCTAAGCACCAGGGGCGTCATGGCACTGATGATGATGATGGCCCAAGACAGTCCCAAGACGGCCCAAGAGGCCTTCAAGACATTCCCAGAGGCCTCCACAGGGCGAAAAAAATAGATTTCCCGTGGGTGGTTGAAGGATGTTGGCGTTCTCGCCATTTCAGCGTCCCGACGCTCCGACAGCCCACGAGGCCCCCAACATCGCCCCAAGACGGCCCGAGGGGTCCTCAAGAGAGCCCCAAGTTGGCCCAAGAGGCGCCCAAGACGACCCCCCATGAGGGCACGCATTGCACCACATAGCATAAACCACAGACATTGCACCACAGAGATTTCAGTGCATATATTCTCCTGTCTAGAAGAAGAATAGACTCTACCACCCCCCCCGGAGTTAAAGGGCCACCTTTTCGTATTGCAATGTACATGTGATACTGCCCCATCGTCCATCGTAACTGTGAATTGATCGTGACCTAACCAATCCGGTATCGGCCCCTCCCGCCATCCACTGCAACAAATACTATGCGCACGCACTCGTTTATCAAAAATCTTACATGTGCCAAAAATCCCTTGCAAAAAATGGGACGAAGTGCACACGCGCGTCGTCGCGCGCGCATGCCGAAATCCGTCAAAAACCTTCGGTTTCGGAAGGATCGGAAGGATTTCAAAATCGAGTTTCCAAAAAAACATGCAAAAACACAAGGTCTTGCAACACTGAAAAAGCTTTACGCGCGCACTCGTGCGAAATCTTACGAAAACCATAGGTTTTTCAAGATTCTCAAAAAATACTACCGAACGGGCTTCGCGCGCGCATGTCGAAATCTTCCGAACGCCCTTGCGGGCGTGCCGTCGCGAGAATCCTCTGCAAAGAAAAAACAAAAAACGAAACGCAGACGCGCGCGTCGTCGCGCGCGCATGCCGGAATCCTTCAAAAACCTTCGGTTTCGGAAAGATTTCAAAATCGTGTCCAAAAAGCATACAAAAACACAAGGTTTCGCAACACGGATTTTCAGCAAAAGCGTGCGCGCGCGCTCTTGCGTCATCGTCGTCGTCGTCGTTGTCGTCGCCGTCCACCCTCCTCCCTCGTCGTCGTCGTCGCCTTGGCGTCGTCGTCGCTTCCGTCGTCGCTGTCGCCGTGGTCGTCCTTCCTCCCTCGTCGTCTTCGTCGGCGTCTCGTCGTTGCCCCTCCTATTTCGTCGCCGTCGTCATCGTCGTCGTCGTCTTCCCTCCTTCCTAGTCGTTGTCGTCGTCGCCGTCGTCGTCCTCCCTCCGCCCTCGTCGTCGTCGTCGCCGTCGTCTTCGTGGGCGACGTCGTCGTCGTCGTCGTTGTCTTCGTCGTCGCCGTCGTCGTCGTCGTCGCGGGTTGGCGCGGCCGCAGAGACGCACCAGCCAACGCCGAGCATGCATCGCAATCGCCACCTTGTGGGTTTTGCAAACCAAGTTGCGGGTGGGTGGGTGGGATGTTTGCAAGAGCACGGGATGTGTCAACTCGTTTGTTAAAACCAATAACACCACTTAGGTCCTCCTGCCCAAAATCAGGAAATTGAATCTACCACCCCAAAACCCCACCCCCATTGGGGTTAGTCCTCGTCAACCTTCACCCTCATGTTCATCCTCCTCCTCCTCCTCCACCTCGTCCTCCTCCTCCTCCTCCTCCTCCTCCTCCCCCTCCTCCTCCTCCTTCTCCTCCTCATCATCATCATCATCCTCCTCCTCACCACCATCAGCATCATCATCATCAAAACCATCATCATCATCATCATCATCATCATCATCATCATCATCATCCTCGTCGTCGTCGGCATCGTCATCGTCATCATTATCATCAGCAGCAGCATCCTCCTCCTCCTCCTCCTCCTCATCAGCAGCATCGGCATCATCAGCATCATCAGCATCATCAGCATGGTCAACATGAAGATAATCTGAATTACGTGTCGGCATTACCACTGTGATCATGCTCAGCACGATTATCATCGTCAGCGGCCGAAGTATCAACACCATCGTCAGCAGCATCATCCTGCTACTCCTCTTCCTAACCCTCCTCTTCCTCCTCATGTTTTCCTCATCATCATCATGACCAGCATCATCATCGGCATCAGCATCACCATCATCATCAGCATGATCATCATCATCATCATCATCATCATCATCATCATCATCATCAACATCATAATCATCATCATCAGTATGCTCATCCTCATCCTCATCATCATCATCTGCATCATCATGGTCATCAGCATGATCAGCATCATCAACATCACCATCAGCATCATCATCGGCAGCAGCATCATCAGCATTATCATCATCCTAATAATCATTGTCATAATCATCATCATCATCATCATCATCATCAGCAGCAGCATCATCATCATCAACAGCAGCATCATCATTGTCATAATCCTCATCATCAGCAGCAGTCTCATCATCTTCGACATCGTCGTCGGCATCATCATCATCATCAGCAGCAGCAGCAGCATCGTCATCCTTCTCATCATCAACATCTTCAACATCATCATCAGCATGGTCAACGTGAACATAATCTGCAGTACGTGTCGTCATCATCACTACGACAATGCTCAGCACCAGCATCATCATCAGCATCATCGTCAGCGGCAGCAGTATCAACACCATCGTCAGCAGCATCATCCTGACACTCCTCTTCCTAACCCTCATCCTCCTCCTCATCATCGTAGTCTTCCTCATCATCAGCATCATAACCACCATCATCACCATCATCATCATCTTCCACTACAACAGCATCAGCATCAGCATCAGCAGCATCATCATCAGTATCATCATCAGCATCACCACTACCATGATCATCCTTATTAGCAGCAGCATCATCATCATCATCATCATCATGCTCCTCTTCCTCAAGATCAGCATCGCCATCATGATTATTAGAATAATCAGTGTCATCGTCATCAGCAGCAGCATCATCAGCATCATCATCATCAGCATCATCATCAGCATCATCATCATCGTGATCATCATGGTCGTCGTCGACGGCATCATTATCATCAGCAGCAGCATCCTCCTCCTCATTATCATCACCATCATCCGCATCATCAGCATCAGCATCATCAGCATCATCAGCATGGTCAACATGAACATAATCTGCGTTACGTGTCAGCATCATCACTATGATCATGCTCAGCACCATCAGCATCGTCATCCTTGTCAGCGGCAGCAGTATCAACACCATCGTCAGCAGCATCATCCTGCTGCTCCTTCCCTAACCCTCATCCTCCTCATCGTATTCCTCATCATCATGGCCATCAGCATCATCATCATCGTCATCATCACCATCATCATCATCAGCAACATCAGCATCATCATCATCAGCAGCATCATCATCATCAGCATCATCACTGTCATCATCAGCAGCAGCATCGTCATCGCATCGGTATCAGCATCATCATCAGTAGCAGCATCATCATTATCCTCCTTCTCAACCTCATCATCGCCATCATCATCATCATCGTCATCGGTATCATCATCATCAGCATCATCAGCAGCAGCATCATCATTAGCATCAGCATCATCAGCATCATCGTCATCATCATCAGCATCATCATGATCATCATCATCGTCCTCATCGTCGTCGCCATCATCACCATCAACAGCAGCAGCAGCCGTATCAACACCATTGTCAGCATCATCGTCCTGATACTCCTCTTCCTAACCCTCCTCCTCCTCCTCAAATTCTTCTTCCTCATCATCATCATGACCAGCAGCATCATCATCATCATCATCATCATCAGCAGCATCAGCATCACCATCATCAGCATCATCAACGACAGCATCAGCATCATCAGCAGCAGCATCATCATCACCAACACCAGTATCATCATCATCATCAGCATCATCATCATCATCATCATCATCATCATCAGCATCATCACTGTCATCGTCATCAGCAGCAGCATCATCATCGTCATCAGTATCATCATCAGCATCATCAGCATCGCCATCATCATCACCATAATCATCACTGTCATAATCATCATTATCCTCATCATCAGCAGCAGCAGCACCATCATCAGCATTATCATCAGCATCAGATCATCAGCATCATCATCATCGTCGTCATAGTCGTCATCATTATCATCAGCAGCAGCATCCTCCTCCTCATAATCAGCATCATCAACATCATCAGCATCATCAGCATGGTCAACATGAACAGAATCTGCACTACGTGTCGTCATCATCACCATGATCATGCTCAGCACCATCATCATCGTCAGAATCGTCCGCGGCAGCAGTATCAACCCCATCGTCAGCAGCATCATCCTGCTACTCCTCTTCCTAACCCTCCTCCTCCTCCTCATCTTCTTCGTCATCATGACCAGCATCACCATCATGATCATCATGATCATCATCATCATCATCATCATCATCATCATCATCATCATCATCATCATCAAGATCATCATCATCATCATCATCATCATCAGCATCATCATCATCATCATCATCATCATCATCATCATCATCATCATCATCATCATCATCATCATTATCATGAACAACAACAGCATCATCATGATCAGCAGCAGCATCATCATCACCATCACCATTATCATCGTCAACATCATCAGCATCATCATCACTGTCATCGTAATCAGCAGCATCATCATCATCATCGTCATCGGTATCATCATCAGCAGCAGCAGCATCATCATGCTCCTCCTCCTCCTCCTCAACATTATCATTGCCATCATAATCATAATCATCATTAGCATAATCATTATCAGCAGCAGCAGCGTCATCATCATCAGCATCATCATCAGCATCAGCATCCTCATCATCATCATCATCATGATCGTCATCATCATCATCATCATCATCATCATCATCATCACCATCATCATCATCATCAGTATCATCATCATCATCATCATCATCATCATCATCATCATCATCATCATCATCATCATCATCATCATCATCATCATCATCATCATTTCCTCCTCCTCCTCCGCCTCCTCCTCCACCTCCCTCATTCCTCCCTCCCTGGCCCGCCGTCCCTCTGGGGCCCCGGTGCACGGCGGCCCCCCAGACGGCCGACGCCCGCCTACGGCCAGCGGCAGCCGCTCCATGTTGCGGCGCTTGGTGCGGCGCAGGGCGATGATGTTCTGGCGGCGGGCTTGGGCGCGGCCACTGGCGGCGGGCTTGGGCGCGGCGGCTTGGCGGCAATGATGTTCTGGCGGCGGGCTTGGGCGGGCTTGGACGAGAGGTGACCAGCGCTAGCCCCAAGTGAGCTTTTGGTAGAAGGTCCGCGGGGTCGACTGGCGCGTGGAGACAGCGTCCCTGTTCTCCTGGCCCTGTGCGGGCCCCGCCGCCCAGGTCGGAAGGGGGGCCGATGAGCAGGGGGAGGAAGCTGAGCAGGAGGGCACAAGAGGGCGCAGCAGGAGGGGGAGATGAGGACACAAGAGGGCACAAGAGGGGCACAAGAGGGCACAGCAGGAGGGGGAGCGGGAGGAGACGGGAGGCGGCACGGAGCTGACGCGATGGTCAGCGCGCCCGGGATGCGGGCCCCCGGCCCGCGGGGCACCCGGGCCAGTGCCTGGCGGCGGGGGAGAAGGCGGCGGGCTCGACCCCGGCGGGGGGCACGAGCGCTCCTGCCCGCGGCGCGCCGAGGCCCTACGTCACAGACGAGCGGGCGGCACCGGCGGAGGTTTGGCCAGGTCCTCCCAGGCATGAGATGGAGGATGCCTGTCAACCTAGGCTCCTACCGAGATGCCCATCCCCCAGAAGGAAGATGCCGATCGGGTGCCTGCCTAGACGCCAGCGCCCCCGCTGGCTGGAATCGGTGACTTCATGGACTCCCGCATGATCTCCCGTACTGTTCAAAGCACGCGTGAGGTCCTCGGGACTGGAATCGGTGGCTCGTGGTCTCCAGTATGGTCTCCCATACGGTCTCCCGTATCGTCACCCGTATGGTCTCCCGGATGATCTCCGTATGGGCTTCCGCATGGCCTCCCGTACAGTCTCCCAGATGGCCTCTTGTGTGGTATCTCGTATGGCCTCCCGCACGGTCTGCCGCATGGTCTCCCGTATGGTCTCCCGCATGGTTCCCTGGTATGCCCTCCGCCAGTGATCTCCCTTATGGTCTCCCTCATGATCTACCGCATGCTCTCCCGAATGCTCTCCCGCGCGGTCTCCCGCATGGGCTCCCGCAGGGTGGTCTCCCGCATGTCCTCCCGTATGATCTCCAAAATGATGTTCCACGTGGTCGCCCATATGGTCTCCCGTATGGTTCCCGTGCGCTTGCCCGTACGATCTCGCATATGGTCTCCCGTATGGTCTCCCGTATGCTCGCCCGTATGCTCACCCATATGGCCTCCCACATGGTCTCCCATATGGTCTCCCATATGGTCGGCAGTATGGGATCCTGCATGATCTCCCGTATGGTCTTCCGCATGGCCTCCCATATGGTCTCCCACATGGCCTCCCGTATGGTATCTCGTATGGTCTCCCCATATGCTCTCCCATATGCTCTCCTGTATGGCCTCCCCCATGTACAATACAGTATAATCATCGATGTACTGTGTACTTGTGCGAGTCAGGGCGCTGTGTCGCAAGGGGTAGTTTGGGAAATCAAGCATATGCTGGCGACGAAAAGGAGAAGGAGCAGGAGGAGGAGAAGGAAAAGGAAGGAAAAGAAAGGAACTGGAGAGGACAATCAGGGGGAGGAGGGAAGAAGTAAAGGAGGAGGGATAAGCAGGATGCGGTGAAGAAGGATCTGCAACAAAGAAGAGAGGGTAGAGAGGGGGAGGGGGGAGGAGGGGGGAAGCAGGGGGAAAGAAAGGCAAAACTGTGGGAGTCCCCACACGGTGCAATGACAATCTGCGCAGTGACCGCGGAATCCCCAAAACCGCACCGCACGGTCCGTCACCGCATGGTGCTCGGGACCTCGGAGGCCCCCGTCGCCCGAGAGATCCTCGGAGACCGATCCGAGTCTCAAACCGTGCGGTGACCCCGAATCCCCACTGACTCGCCACACGGTGTGGTCCCCATACCGTCTGGCCCCCCCCCCGAACATTTGCTCTGGCAGCGCTGGTTCTGGCAGCATAGATCGGGTCAAGTAAGGGAGAGAACGCAGCAGCGACGCGGCTCACTTCAAGATGGTGCGTCCTCCTCCTCCTCCTCCTCCTCCTCCTCCTCCTCCTCCTCCTCCTCCTCCCCCTGCACCCCCTCCTCCTCCTCATCCTTCTCCTCATCCTCCTTTTCCTCCTCATATTCCTCCTCTCCTCCACCTCGTCTTCCTCCAACATCCTTACTCCTTCCTCATCTGTACTCCTTCGCTTCCTCCTCCTCCTCCTCCTCCTCCTACTCCTCCTCCTCCTCCTCCCCCTCCGTCTCATCATCCTCGCCATCATCATCATCATCATCATCATCATCATCATCATCATCATCATCATCATCATCATCAGCATCAGCATCATCATCATCAGCATGATCGTCATCGTCATCATCATCATCATCATCATCATCATCATCAGCATCATCATCAGCATCATCAACCGCCCCGGTTTTACCATCATCATGTTCATCATCACCATCAACATCATCAGCATCATCATCAGCAGACACCTTCATCGTCATAATCCTCATCATCAGCAGCATCAGCATCCTCATCATCACCACCACCACCACCTTCATCACCCTAATCAGCATCATCACCACCACCACCACCATCATCATCATCATCAGCAACAACAACAACAACAACAACAACAACAACAACAACAACAACAACAACAACAACAACAACAACAACAACAACAATAACAACAACAACAACAACATCATCATCATCATCATCATCATCATCATCATCATCATCATCATCATCATCATCATCATCATCATCATCATCGTCATCAGCATCATCATCAGCAGCATCATCATCATCAGCATCATCATCATCCGCACCATCGTCATGGTCATCGGCATCAGCACCATCATCAGCAGCAGCAGCGGCAGCAGCATCATCAGCGACACCACCATCGTCATCATCAACAACATCAGCATCACCCCCAGCCTCATCAGCACCACCGTCATCATCATCAGCATAAATGCCGTCAGCGTCAACATCAGCATCATCGTCGTCATCATCATCATCATCATCATCATCATAAGCAGCATCATCATCATCAGCATCAGCATCATCCTCAGCAGCAGCTGCATTCGTATACTGATCAACAGCATCAGCATCATCATCATCACCAGCAGCAGCATCATCAGCATCAACATCATCATCAGCAGCAGCATCAGCATCGTCACCGTCATCATCAACAGCATCATCATTATCAGCAGCATCGTCCCCAGCAGTATCAACAGCATCATCATCGTTAGCATCAGCATCAGCATAATCGTCGTCATCGTAATGATCATCAGCATCACCAGCACCAGCATCATCATCATCAGCATCATCAGCAGCAGCATCATCAGTATCAACACCCTCGTCATCAGCATCCTCAGCAACATCGTCATGATCATCAGCCTCATCATTAGCAGCATGGTCATCATAATCATCATCATCATCATCATCAGCATCATCATCATCATCAACATCATCATCATCATCATAATCATCATCATAAGCATCATCATGATTAGCATCATCATCAACAACATCATCAGCAGCAGCATGAGCATCACCATCAGCATCACCATCATCATCAGCATCCCCATCAGCATCCCCATCAGCATCATCATCAGCATCATCATCAGCATCATAATCAACATCATCGTCATCATGAGCATCATCGTTGTCGTCGTCAATCTCGTCATCCTATCCTCATCATCGTACTAGTCCGTTGTCCATCGTTTCATACTCCTCCGCCTGTTCCTCCTCCTCCTCCTCCTCCTCTTCCTTCTCCTCATCCTCCCCCTCATCCTCCTCCTTCTCTCCCTACCTACCTACCTACCTACCTACCTACATACCTACAGTCCTGCCTGTCTGCCTGCCTGCCTGTCTGCCTGCCTACCAACCTATCTGCCTAAACCACCCCCTACCCCCAGCCACCCACCACCACCACCACCATCACTATCGCCACCACCACCACCACCACCACCACCACACCCCCACACACCGATACCTTCCCCCTCATGCTCGCATGTACTCCTCAACATCCCTTCCTCTCGGTCCCACGCCCCTCTTCTGCCTCCTCCTCCTCCTCCTCTCCATGCTATTCCTCCAGTCTCCTATCCTCACCGCCCCTCCTGATCACACCTCCTTCTCATCATGTTCCCCTCCCTCGTCCTCACATCATTCCTTCCGTCTCCCTCTCTTCCTCCTCCTCCTCATTCTCATCCTCCTTCTCGTCCTCCTGGCTCGCTCGCTCACCACCGAAGGAATTTAGGTCGATACCTCATCGTCCGTATTACTATAGTCTCTCACACGTCCCGTCTGTCCCTCCTGCTGCCGTTCCCTCCCACCTGCTCACAACCGCTCTCTTGTCTCCCATACATCCTCATGCCACGCTCCTCTTCCTGACCCCCATCGTGTTCATGGTATCATCACGTCATTACCCGCCGTGCTTCGTCAACGTGCTGCCCTTGATACTAAGGCATATGATTATACTGTTGTCCGTTATGCTCATGTCTTTACTCCTTCAAGCAGCCGCCGCATGAATCAAGTGCGGCTTGCCTCGCGCGCAAGCATCTCCAGCGAAGGCGGGTCGATGCCTGAAAAAACAGTCAACACGCAATGAGGCACCTGCACAAACCCTACAGTCATCATGCTGCCACCCGCATTTCTGAAAAAGAACGAAGGCGGTTGGTTTGGCCACGGCGTGTCCTGGCTTCGATTATATTCCCCGGCCTAGATCTAAGGTACGGCCCATGGACCCGAAGTGGTCCTTATGTCAGCGGCTTGACTGTGTAGCGGATCGTCGTTCTGCTTGCCCATGAACTGTTGCAATCGTCAGGCGCCTCCATCAGTACACCGTTTAAGTGCTTCCTGTGCGCTTCAGTTATCCCGAGCGGCCTGACAAAGATACTACCTGACTACGCTAAGGAGAAGAAACAGGAGCCCCAGTACTGACAGCACAGGCATGGGAGGCTGCTAGGGGTGTCTGTCAGGCGCGGCCATCAAGGCTGTGTTCTTTGACCCAGTATTCAATGGTTCGTCGGAGGCAATGGCGGACAGCCACATGCCTACTCTTCTGCGCAAGCCTCTGATCCCCTCTCTCTCTCCGCGCACTCAACGGCGTATGAGTGCGCCGCCGCACGGCCAGCAAAACAACACTAAACTTACGCACAAATATTCTCGAAAGCGCCGTTCTTCGGCGCTCAGTGCTGTCTGAACTCCGGGCTGCTCGAGGCTGCGACAAGAGGACGAATGAGGGGCAACCTGGCGAAGACCAGCGGAAGATCGAGGGAATTAACCAGGCGAAGCTGTCAGGCAGAGGTATTGAGCATCGGAGAAAACTGGTGCTGCCCCAAGCTGGTGAAACAACGAATGGGCGACAGAATGTCATGTAGAACGACAGCGTTGGAAGAGCGCGAGGACTGAGGAAGCAGCGATAAAGATCGCGTCCAGGCCTTTCTGGTTCAACACCACGAAATTCTTTTTGTTCTCCTCAGTGCAAACCTTTCTCTTGAGCTCGATTACCTTCTTGACCTTCTCGTCAGTAAACTTCCGCTCCGAACTTAGGACAGGCAGTTTGGACAGAAAGCCCACCATCGATGCTCTGAGCAATCACCACTCCCTCTGCGCGGCACCGCCTTCGCATACACGGCGTTGCTCCGATCAATCGTACGACAGGCGCTGAGTCAGGAAGTGCAACCGACTCTGCCGCTGAGCATGCCCCCTCCTTCCATCATCCATACTCCTCCTCCGCCTGCTCTCTCACCCTACGATTCGTCCTCCCGTGTTTCCTCCGTGCGCTCTGGCGGTGGAGCGAAAATGATCCGACTGCTTCTCCAGAGGCCCATGTCATCACGGCGGCCTCCTCCTCCTCGTCCTCCTCCTCCGCCTCAACCTCCTCTTCTTGTCAAAATTACGAGCAGTACCACTGCTATTACCCGAAGTAGTATTACTCGTCTTCTTGTTACTTGTTACTGGTAATACGATGACAATATGGCAAATCCAATAAGTCATAATACAAGCTGTGCTCGTAATGATTCCCCAAACAGTGCTTGCACTTAGGGGGGCTTACTTCTCCTCCAAGGAACTGGGACTAGTCGTCGGTGAAAAGGCCTGGGGTCGCCCGTCGACGCCCGTGGCCGCTGTCCTTGGTCACGATTTTGAGTGTGCGTTGCCTTGCTTTGCATTGATTTGCATTGCTTTGCATTCCTTTGCACTGCTTGGCATGATTTTGCATTGCGTTGCCTTGAGTTGCATGACAGTGCAATCGCATTGCATTGCTTTGCATGTTGTTGCAGTGCTCTGCAGTGCTTTGCATTGCTCTGCATTGCTTTGTACTGCTTTGTATATTGTTGCACTGTTTGGCATTAGCTTGCATACCTTTGCACTGCCTTGCATTGCTTTGCGTTGCTTTGCACTGCGCTGCGTTGATTTGCGTTGATTTGCGTTGCATTGCATTGCATTGCCTTGTATTGCTTTGCACCAAATGGACTGCACCACCTAGACTGCACCACGTTGATTCACCATCTAGATTGCACCGGGTCATATGTTGTAGGAGTTCACTGTTTGGGGCCCACGCACATTATCATCGTGATCGAAGTTCGTCTATATTCGCGCGTACAGACTTAGCAGTAGTAATCGTACGAGATCTTATTACATTGGTTGTAATAATCGTAAAATCAGCATTACGGCTAGCATGCGTAGTACTAGCATTCGTCATACTCATGCTACTTTGACTAATCTGCACCATATCCTTCTTCCCAGTCATACAACTCATAGTGCTACTCCTTGGCTTGACATCCGTACTCTTCTCGTGAAGGCTCCTAATGTGGTTCATAATTTTCTTATTGCCACGGGCATAAACTTTCCAGCCGCCAAGGGTCGGGGGCGCGCAAACATGGATTAGCGATCCGTGGATTAGGCGCGCGGTCGCCAAATCCATGGATCGGGGGAGGTACCCTCCCCAAAATGCGGCCGGTGACGCCTCGCTCGGCGGCTGCAATGCGCGATTTCCAATGGAAACGGGACCCGTCGCTAATCCACGCCCCCTTAATCCATGTTTGCGATCGCCTGAGTTTGTCCGCCAACTTGTGACGGCCCCAGAGCGCGGCAGCGGCCCACCTGGGACGGCAAAAAAATCGAAAGAACCCCCCAGCTCGATCTGCGCCCGAGTCGTCAGGGACTCCGGGGCCTCCAAAGAGATCCCCGCCGCGGAGATTCCCCCCTGGGGAGGTCTCCTAAAGGCCTGAGGAGGGAGCCAGAGAGGGAGGGAGGGAGGGGGAGGGAGGGGGAGGGAGGGAGGGAGAGGGAGGGAGAGGGAGGCAGAGGGAGGGAGAGGGAGACGTATGATGTTCCAGCCGACTTTTACCTCGATCACCAGGAAGAGTTTCGAGCACCAGGAAAGTACCGAAACTGGAGAGTTTTCATGTGTCGGGCCTTGGGAGGCGATATTCGTTCGACACTGTTTCGATACTGTGCGGGGTGTTCTAAATCCCACCAGCCCTCTGGGCGCAGGTGGTCTAGATGGTTTACTTTTCCAGCCTCCTTCCCTTCCCTGCTCGGGAGGCTTACCTCCCCCCCCTTGGTCTGGACGGGCTCCCCAGTGAGGGGATAGAGCGTCCAAGATGGCCCAAGATAGCTCCAAGAGGGCTTTAGCTAGCCCAAGATGCCCTCAAAGATCGCCCAAGATACCTCACGACGGCTCAATATAGCCTCCAACACGCATCCAAGAGGCCTCAAGACGGCCCCAAGACGGTTTCAAGCGCCCTCCGAGTCTCCAAGGACTCCCCCAAGAGGCCAAAATGGGTTCAAAACCTCAGGGAAATCAATGTGTTTTGCCTTTTCGCTTTTTCGCTTCCAATGGACTCTCGAGGCTTCAAGATGGCCCCAAGATGGCCCAACATAGCCCCAAGAGAGGCCCAAGAGGTCCCCAAGACGGCCACAAGAGCGCCCAAGAGCGGCCCAAGGGGGGCCCAAGACGCCCATTTTAGACCTCCGAGCGGGGGGGGCGTAAATTTAAGACCCCCCCTCTTTTTGAGCAAAGGGGTCCAAGACGGCCCCAA